TTATTATGATTCTCTGGTATTTGACATTTGGTATTCAGTCCAGCTGAGAAAAGCTGTATTTGGGAAATTGTCATCTATCGCACGTCAGTCCCCCAAGTGGCTCCAAAGCCCCAGTCGTCTGGTCAGCCTGCAAGTTCTAGCGACTTCTCAGCCCTGACACAGCACAGTACACTTCAGGGGGTCCCACTCTGAACCTGGTCCCATCGGTAAAGCCCCGAACCTGGAGAAAGAGAAGCTGGGAAATGGTGCTCCTACCTGATTCATTCGCCAAGGTCAGGCTGACAGAGCAACCATGAACTTCTGCTTTCTTTAACAGGTACAGACACTCTGTCCTTAAAACACCTCCCCCAGTTCATCGAAATGAAGTAACATTGGAGACAGCAAATTTGAAGATCAGATTTATCTATGCAGATTCACAATCTGTGGGACTTAGAAGCTACAACATTACTTTCCCCCGTCCAGACACAGAGGCTTGAGGGTCTTCATACTGGCCACTTGCACATATGGAAGAAGAAATAAAATGCATACATTTGAGGATACAAAAGAAACTGTTTTCATCCACCCCACACCCACAAAAAAAAAAAGAAAAGAAAAAAAGCTAATCAGAGGAGAGTTTTGCAAAATTGTCCAAGAGCATGCTTAAGAATAATAGATTTAACATTTGCTTTCTTCGGCCTGGAAGTTTCTCAGAGTCTCCTCAAACTCCTTCTCGATACATAATGTGTATTCTAGAGGGGGCCAGGAGGGGCGCCTGGGTGGCTTAGTCGGTTAAGCGTCCGACTTTCGCTTAGGTCATGATCTCACGGTTCGTGGGTTCGAGCCTCAAGTCGGGCTCTGTGCTGACTGCCAGCTCAGAGCCTGGAGCCTGTTTCAGAGTCTGTATCTCCCTCTCTCTCTGACCCTCCCCTGCTCACGCTGTCTCTCTCTCTCCTAGAAATAAATAAATTAAAAAAATAAAATAAAATAAAGGGGGCCAGGAGGGATAGATTGTAACTTGGCATGATCTTCCTTAAGTGTAAATCCTTCAACTCAAGGGAAGGCGGGACAATCCACTCACATAGACAGACAATGGGAAAGGAAATAAAGAGGAGAAAACCTCTTTTGATTTTTAAATATATTTTAATGTCTTTAATATTTTTATGTTTTTAATGTTAATAACACTCTGGCTTAATTTAGTAAAGCAACGCTGTGACTAATTAAAGCACACACTAAATAACAAAGAAGTGCCCGCTTACAGAGGTTTCCAGTAAATGTGGTAAACAATAACTGGCTTTGCTTTATTATCGTCAAATCGCTGCTAATCATAGCATTGCATGAAGTCAAAAACCATCTATGACTGACTTATTGCTCTGTTTGGCCACGTGCGGGTGCACCATTTAGCCACGAATACAAGATGAAGGCTATTTATAGATACCGTTTTCTTGGCAGAGCAATTAAGAATGGCTAGAGTATTCCAAGTGAGGAAGCACTTGGCAGATGGAGAGCAAAGGGGAAACGAGTGACACCCTCCAGGGTGTTTCCACAGCGCTGGCCTTGGAGGAAGGAACACCACCAGAGTGCCAGGAAGTGTGGGCAGGTGGGCGAGGGTGGCAGGAGGGGGCTGGACATGTCCCCTGTGACCAGAGAGAATGCCACGGGAAAGCCGGAAGACCAGGAAAGGCAGGAAAGCCACAGTCCTTCCCGCTGAAGCCCTTTAGGTGGGAGGAGGCTGCGTGGGTTCCTTCAACACCCCAAGGTCAGCACCAGCTCCGGGCCAAGCCAGAGGCCGGCCGCAGGGACAAGTGGCTTACTTCCGGCCGGCCGCTATGCCTTGGCCCCCAAGCTTACCGAGGCCAGCTCACAAAAGCCAGCACGGACACTGAGAGAGCCCTTCAGGCCCCCCCCACCCCAGCTCTAGACCCGGCAGGTCTCCAACCCGCCTTCATGACTTCCCGCCTGGCTGCATTTTGAAGGACCAAGAGAAGTTTATCAAACAAATACTGAAGGTAGTCATTGTGATTAGAGGAAACCACAAGGTCAAAGACACGAATGAGGCAGCACGTTCCAGGCGCCGTAGGTGTGGCGTGTCTCTGCTGCTGGGAGTGGGTGGGGTAGGGGGGCGGACGATGGGGGCCTGCGCCAAGGTATGAAGATGGGAAAGCCATCAAATTTGGGAACTGTCACCTGGCAAGACTTCAGCTTTAAGAAGACCAGGCACCTGGGTGGCTCAGTCAGTTACGCATCCTACTCTTGACTGATTTTGGCTCAGGTCATGATGATCTCATGGTTCGTGGATTCAAGAGCCCTGCTTCAGGCTCTGCACTGATAGCATGGAGCCTTCTTGGGATTCTCTCTCCCTTTCTCTTACCCCCACTTGTTCTCTCTCTCTCCTCTCTCTCTCTCTCTCTCTCTCGCAAAATAAATAAAGTTAAAATATTTTTCAAAAGAGAAGAATGCCACCTTGACTGTGGTCTGGAAGACAGTCACTGGCCTATCCAGATTTTGCAGGGCTGAAGATTACACAGTTTGGAGAGCTCTCATTAAACAAAAGAATTCAAATAATTAAGTACAAAAGCAAAAGCTTATGTTGAATGACAAAATAATCCAAAACAAAGTATAAAGTTTATTTTTTTTATTTTAAAGTTTATTTATTTATTTTGAGAGAGAAAAAGAGAGTGGGAGGGGCAGAGACAGAGGGAGAGGGAGAATCCCAAGCGGCACTCGATCTCACGAACTGTGAGATCATGACCTAAACCAAAATCAAGACTCGGACATTTAAGCAACTGAGCCACTCAGGCACACAACAAAATATAAATTTTAGAATGCTAATAAACACTACAAACACAAGTGAAAACACGGAAATTCCAATAAATCTCTTGCAGAATGTTCGTAGAGAGAAAAAGAAAAATATGGTATTATAATGAAATACACAGCATGACCTATTATACTCCCCAAAGGAGAGAACTTTTGTTATGATTAGTTGTTGTTAAAAAACAAAGTCTTCTGTTTACAATTTTCTGTATCTGACATTTAGAAGAATCACTTACAGACCAGCTCCTGCTTTGTATATTTTAAGTTTTGCTTCTTCTTGACTCCTCACAAGTATCTGGCTTCAGACACCACCGGACACTCCTTTTTAAAGTTTATTTTAGGGGCGCCTGGGTGGCTCAGTCGGTTAAGCGTCCAACTTCGGCTCAGGTCATGATCTCGCAGTTCGTGGGTTTGAGCCCCACCTCGGGCTCTGTGCTGACAGCTCAGAGCCTGGAGGCTGTCTTCAGATTCTGTATCTCCCTTTCTCTCTGACCCTCCCCTGCTCACACTGTCTCTCTCTCTCTCTCAAAAACAAATAAAACGTTAAAAAATAAAGTTTATTTTATTTTTAAAATGTATTTTGAGGGAGAGATCGAGAGTGAGTGGGGGAAGGGCAGAGAGAGAGGATCACAGAATCCCAAGCAGACCCTTCCCTGTTAGCACAGAGCCTGAAATGAGTCTGGAACTCACAGACCATGAGATCACGACCTGAGCCCAAACCAAGAGTCAGATGCTTAAGGGACTGAGCCACCGACTTGCTCCACTATAGGGCACTCCTATCATACCATGAGTGCTGGCCTGCTTTGTGTCACAGAGCTGGGCGAATCAGTGCAGGGGGCCAGAGGAATATACCTGAAAGTCACTCCTACCCCAGGATGCTATAACTTAGCTGCATTTAGAAACAAATACCACCCACAGAAGAATCTGCCCCACGTGTATTCCCAACTCGATTTCCCGTTAGCTAGAGCCCCCAAATGCCCATGACTAGCTAACAGGCCAACAGTAGAGGTTGGAGAAGTTGGAATGGAAAGAGAAAACACTTTTTTTTTAAATGTTTATTTATTTTTGAGATAGCGCCAGTGGGGGAGGGACAGAGAGAGAGGACAGAGGATCTGAAGTGGGTGCTGGTGCTGACAGTGAACCCCATGCGGGGCTTGAACTCATGAACCCAGAGATCATAACCTGAGCTGAAGGGGGGGGGGGCTGTCACCAGCCACAATGTCTGTTTCCACGGTTACCTAGCAAGACTGGGATCTTTCTCTTTGTTCTTATGAATGAGGCCACCCAGTAAGATGTGTCTAGGTTCTCTGCCATCCAAGACACACCCATCTATTGTCTCCTTTTGATTCAACCTATACTTTTTCCCCCAACCTGGCCAAATCCAAGTCTCACACTTAACTTCCGTTTGCAGGGGTAAACTGAGCATGACACAGTTTGAAATGTTTGAAAGTTCTATCTTTAGCCTGATTTCCCTCTCCGGACCCCCCACCCCCACCAGATTAGTAAAAACACAAGCTGAACACAGACAGGAAGGAGAAAACCCATCCACCGGCCCCTGGACACAATCCTGGTACACTGGAGGGAAATGAGAAAGCATTTTCCCATCAGTATAGCTACGCTACCGAAGAATTCATGCCCCTGAGAACACGGGAGCCGGCAATCGGGGAAACCCCACTGAAAAGTTTAGATAGGTGATACAGAGATGACTCCCACAGGCACTGGATCTTTGCACAAAGTCTACAGCAAACATGTTCATTTCACGAGAAGACTTTGCTGCTTCTCGAATAATCCCCAAAGGGGAATTGCTGGATGTCCCATAATGGATAAAACTGCTGATAGGGATGGAAAAAGTTTATGAAGGTTTTTTAAACCCAAAATACCATATGTAGAGTTCAGAACATTTTATTTATACCTTTGCCTGATACTTCGCCCACGCACACAGGATTAAGGAAGAAATATGTGACCGCCTGCTGGCCCAGGGAGAACTCTCTCCCCCACTGGCCTGACGGGAGCATCACTGACCTGTGGCCAAACGTTGATCTGGAGCACAAAACTCCTTCTCAAGTTGAAAGGAAAAGTAATAGAGAATAAAATTTTAAATACTAAACACAGTCCCATATATTTTGTTTCTCCTTCAGCCTACAAATAAAAATATGCCTAAGTGGCCTCTTCTGGCATAAGATTACAGGTTAAAAAATAAACCCCCAAAGCATTATATAATCACGAGATAAGAATAATTAAGAGTAATATAGTTCTTCTTAAAAACCTTGATGGATAACCTTTAAGATGTTCTGAGGGTTGTGTTCAGGCCACACGCATGATGGGCGATATTTTTTCTTCCTTTTTTATAAAAAAAAAAGAAAGCTAATTTTGCTTAAAATAGAAGGAGGTCTACGGGTCTTTCATCTAAGCATTTCTTTATCACGCAATATTATCTCTATTTCAAGGACATAAAACAAAAGCCAAATGCACAGCGGCGTGTGCACACTACACCAGGGATGCACGTGGACCAAGAGAGGTTGCTCAGGGGCCCTCGGTAGATCTAACGTCTTGTGTTGTGGCCCTTCTGTGACTCCAAAGCCCGTGCGGAAGCACAGCTTTGACAGAGGTGACAAAGTCTACGAGGTTCCAAGCGAAGCTTCATTTACCTTTCCTTCCTCTCGGGACTCCAGAAGCAACTCGAGGCCCAGCAATTTTCATTCCCACAGGTCCCTTTCCCGCAAGACATGGATTCAGAAGGAATGGGCCCCACTCAGTGTGCCTCTAGGAAGCGAGGGAAAGGGTGAAAGATTGCCCACCACCGGGGCTGGTGTGGAGGGAGCAGAGAATGCCGGGCACGCGTCGGCGTCCGTGGGGCCCTGCCTGTGGAGCAGAGCACGGCTGGAAAGACAGGGACGTGAGAAGGTGACCTCGCTGTGTACCACGAGCCCCGCATTATCACAGCTACTTATCAGACGTGATTCTTCCCATTCCCGCCATGACCTTGTGAGGTGGGCGCGGCACCAGCCCCATCAGCGTGAAGTAGACAGCGGCTAAGACCCTAACCCGTTCACCCAGGTCACCCATGTGACGGTTCCTTTTACGTGTCAGCCTGACTGGGCTCTGGTATCCAGACGGGCGGTCAAAGACCCATCTGGATGCTTTCGGGAAGGTGTTTTACAGATGTGCTTAGCGTTGAAACCAACGGATGTTGAGGAAAGCAGATGGCCTGTCATTGTGTGAACGAGCCTCACCTCTCCAGGTGAAGGTTCTCAGACATCAAAGGCTCGCGTCCCAGAGGAAGAGGGGATTCTGCCCGCAGACCGTCTTCACACTCGAGCTAACACATCTGCTCGTCCCTGGGTCTCCGGTCGGCCATCGGCCCTGCAGAAATCAGACATGGCAGCCTCCTCAATAACATACGAGTTATTCCTTAAGATAAATCTGTCGCCCTCTCCCTTTCCCACTCTGTCACCTTTTTCCTACGCATCTCCTGTTGGCTCTGTGTCTCTGGAGAAACATCCTGCCGATACTGGACCTACGATTCAAGCACAGGGTTCTCGATCTTATCATGGCAACTGATTGCCAGAGGATTTACAGACACCGTGTTTAATCCACTTCCTCATTCATTCAGGACATACTTATAAGGCATCTCCTATCTGTTTAGTCCTGTTATCGGGTTCTAGAAATCCCACAGAACTATACAAGCCGGGTCCCTGCCTTCCCAGAGCTTGGGAGTGACTGCCAAGTAAACGTGCAGTTACAAGCAGGAGCTGAGGGTTCCAAAGGAGCTGAGGGGACAGTCAACAGATTGTCAGCTGGGAGATTAGGAAGGGCCTCTCGGAATAAGTCGATATTTAAGGGGAGACCCAGAGAATGAACTTGAAATAGCCGAATGAGACAGAGGAAGTCATTCAGGCACAACCAACCGGGTGTGCAGATTCAGAGGTGAGAAAGGTGGCCCAGCAGCCAGAGGCATTGAGTGCCACAGGCTGAGAGGCGGAGGTGGGCCAGCTCTCTTTCTGCGACCTGTTCAGGCCTGTCCGAGCTTTGGACTCCAGCCTGCCAGCAAACGGAAACACGGAAGCCCTTTCCGTGGAGTCAAAGTTAAAGATAACTTAGGGGCGCCTGGGTGGCTCAGTTGGTTAAGCGTCCGACTTGAGCTCAGGTCATGATCTCACAGTTTGTGGGTTCAAGCCCTGGGTCGGGCTCTGCGCTGACAGCTCAGAGCCTGGAGCTGCTTCAGATCCTGTAACTCCCTCTCTCTCTGACCCTCCGCTGCTCACGCTGCCTCTCTCTCAGAAATAAATAAATCATTAAAAAAATTTTTAAAGATAACTTAAGTGTGGCTTGGCATAACACTGGGGGAGCAGACATCAACCGTTGGAGGTGAGAAAGGGCGCAGGTGAGACTGAGGGGTAAACTCAGCCAGACCTGGTAACTGGATTACAGGTCTGGGGACAGGGACCAGGGGTCCTAGGGAAAGAAGAGTCACTTGCGGAACAAGACCACCAAATGAAATCGGGCTTTACTGTGTTAGTTTTCTATGTGACACCAGGGGACAGACGCCCAGCTATCGCTCCATCGTGTTTACTGCTCTCTCCTCATCCTCTTGCTTACCCCTGCCCCGAGGTGTTGCTCGCAGCTGTAGGGTGCGCCCCCCGCCTGCCCTGGACCCACACACGGGCTGGGGGAGGCCTGAGAAGCAGCAGGGCCACGATGCATACCTACTCCTAGACGTCCACCTGTTCGATGCAAATGAACTATTCTCCCAAATCTTGAGCCTTTGTTTTTGCTGACGGTTTATGCAGCCGGGACTTCTATGTTACCCAGAAACACGCACACAGGCTCTCCCTGCGTCGACTTGAGTCCGCAGCGGCCCTAGGCCGGCCCGAGGCACGTGGCGCGGGCCCTCCTCCCGCTGCAGGCAGGGACTGAGACCCGCCCCCTGCAGCGCGGGTGCGTGGGCAGGGGGCCAAGGGCGCGGGGGTCGAGAGCGGGGGCGGGGGCCGAGAGCGGGTGCGTGGGCGGGGGCCGAGGGTGGGGGGGCGTGGGCGGGGCCCGAGGGCGGG